TAAAGGTCTTTTCCAACCTTAATTTTTCTGTAATTCTATGATTCTGTGATCTTAGCTTTCTACATTGCTGTCTGTCTTGGTTTTCTTTCTTCTTTTTTCTTCAAGTTCTTGCTGGCAATCAAATGATTTAAAAATATCATTGTATAGAGTGTTATTTTTTTTTCTTCTTGCAGCTGTTTTCTCTGGTACTTTTTTCTAACAATTAAAATTGGTCAATCAAAATTAAATAGTTGATGTTAGTATATACCAGATTTTTAAGTTCTGCATATAAAAATTTTACAGTATTCATCTGTGCTGATTTCACATTACTTCTGAATATTTAATGAGTCAATCCCCTAAAATGTTACTTACGTGATCATATTCTACTCTTTGTGCAATGTATATGCAGAAGAGCGTAAAACTAAGACTGTGTGTTGAATCATAAACCTTACGCTGATGTTTTTTGTTTGATTTGGCAAAAATAATTTTAAAACTGCTGGGTAATTAAGAATACACCTGTAGTAATTTTGTATCACAGTTTCAGTGGGATTTGAAATCTGCAACTTTAAAGCTGCAGCATATATTTTAACCACTTGAGATACGTTAATGCCAAGTGGCTTTCAGAGAAGACTGTTAATCAAGCAGTAGATGAACAGCTGGATCCAAGGTGCTGCTAGGAAAGAAGGATGACCTTGTTCTCTTTCCTCCTTTCCCTTGTCTTTCCAACAACCTCAGAAAGATGAGGCAGTATCTGCAATGTGTTTTTTTTTATGTCTCCATGGATGAGGAAAGCTTCTTACAGCTATATGCTTTATAAGTAATTTGGGAATAATTAGTTCACTTTCATTCTATTCCATCTTTTCCTCCATCCAAAACATTGGAAGGGAACCAACTTCCTATGTTTGAGTAGGGAGACTTGGCTTCTCTCTCTTCCCCATCTTGTCACAGCTGTTCTGAAAATGCTGAAGTAATCTATAATTGCTGCTAATTCTGCTGTAGAAATTGTAATCTTATTTTCGGTTATCGGCTTCTCAGGGTAACACTTCACTGTGTTTTCCTGAGGAATGCAAATTAGCACAGGAAAGTGGTAACTCCATTTTCTGTAGCATCGGTTCCCAGCAATCGTTTTAGTGAAGCTTGCTTAGGGGCCAGTATAATTGCTGTAATAGTGGATCTGGGTCTGTCTCAGTTAACATTCTCTACAACAGTCTCACTTAGGTTGAATAATTCCTTACAAAATGGCATATATCATCAACAAATCTATTATATGGATGTATTAGAAATAATACCTACGTGCCAAGATAAGCTTATTTATTTTTGCTAATGTTTTTTTTTCCTTCAGAAATTAGTAAATGAGACATTCCAGAAGCTCTGGTTTACTCCAACTCCACACCATGACAAAGAAGCAATGACCAGGAAAATACTAAACATCACCGATGTGGTATGTTATACAAATTCGAATTGTTGCATGCAAAATTTGAGTATGTTTTTAGTATCTTTGAAATATTGTCTGTGGTCTTTTAGAATACAAAATATATGCAAGTAATTTAATTATCAGATGGTTTTCTTTATATGTCTTCTGACACTGAATATATGCTATAATTATTCATCTGATGGAACAGGCTGTAGGAAACTTTAAATGCTCACTAATATGCTGGCAGTGATAACTGAGACCACATTATATTCAGGTTGTGTAAAATACTTGTTCAGTTAGAACAAATTTCTGTTATATTTTACATTTTCGAGGAAATGCTAGTAGCAGCATATAGTTAAACCTAACTAAGAAGTTGTCTCTTAAAAGAAAAATTTCCTCAGTTGATAACATTTATTTTTAAAGGTTAATAAGCTGTTTTAACAAATACAGGGTCATGTTCTCACCCAAAGTAAACTAGTATCTGCATAATTTTATCTACCTTTTAGGAGCAGCGAATTAAATAGCATGTCTCAAAAAAAAAAAAAATCTGTTTCAAATAAAATGCTTATACATTTGTAGTGAAAATGTGTTGTGTAAAACCACTGTGCTGAGAGGGTATTTTAATATCAGTTATACCAAGATGTAAATATTAAATAAAAGTACTCGCTTCACTACTTAAAATTATGGGTTTAAACTCCATCCTGCTTTTCAATATTTTTAATAAATGGTAGTGTAGTGTGCATTTTTCCAGACTGAGAAGTCAGTTGATTTGACTTCAGCTTAATTCTCAGTTATCCTGCCAATTCTATTTTGGAGCACCTGTGAACTGTTCCTGACATATTATACTAGTGAAGGCTTAGTTTGTTTATATAAAAATATGTATATGCATAGATATATATACACACACGTTCATTTTTAATGTCAGGCACAGATTTGTGCTTTAATCAGTACAAAATGTTGTTCTACAAAACCAAAATTTGGTTACACCAAAGCCAGCAATCTCCAGTAAAATGTGTAGGCCTTGTGTTGTATGGGATACAAATTCTGGGATCACTTAAATGGTGAGAACTATTTTTCAAATGCAGAAGACAGTTTCTGATCTCCAAAGATATTATACTGAATGTATATCAAAATATATATCTATGCATGTTTACTGATCTTTTAAGATGACATCTGTATTGAAGTAATTTTTCTTCAGATGCCTTTTTTAACCAGTTTATTCTCAAAACTACTTTTAGGTTGCAGCTTGTAGAGATACAGGATATGATTGGTTTGAACAGCTTCTTCAAAATGTAAGTAATGAATGTTGAACATATGGCACAATCACTGTAAGAATTTTAACATTTCTTTTGGTACTAAAACACATTGAAGGGAGACTATAAGAGCAGTCCTTTACAGTAGACAAATTCAATTAATGCCCTTTAATCATCTGACCTTTTTTAAAATCTTCTTTGGTTTAAATTTCTTTGTCTCCAACATTAGTTTCTTTCTTTCCATATGATTTGTTTTAAAAATACTTCACTTTTTGTTTTGGGGAGGGTTTTTGTTTGGATTTAATTTCATGGTCTCTTCAATAACAAGTGACATAACATGAAGTCCACAGCTAAGATACTTAATTCTGAAATGAGGCCTCTAGTGTAATGTAGATTTTTTTTAAATGGTAGATAAGTGTATTTTCACGTCCAATATATTTGTTACACAGTTTATAGAAGCAGTGAATCTTCAGACTATAGCTTACTTCTACATTATATTTTACTCTGATTTTTCTACGAAATGAGCTTGCTTTGTTTATATCTCAGCCTATGTTCTCTTTCTCCTCTACAACTTGTATGCGCTCATTAACTTTCAAGCAAAATTAACAAAAGCATGCATGGGGGAATTAGAGGTCTCCAAAGATTTTACTTTAGCCTGGAGTGCCATGAAAATAGGTAGCAAGTAAACCAAGGTGCCTCTTAATGCCTGGACTGAAGAAAAAGCTATAGTACGGGCTCAATTAAATTAACTGTTTAAAATGTTCATAGAACTATGTTTCATCTTAGTTTGATATTTCTGCTTCATGTCAAAAACAACATTCCTTTTGAATTTGTGAGGGTTTTTTTCTAAGCATTTTAAAAAGCCTTCTAACTCCTATTAGTTGCTGCTGGCAAGTATGACTACATTATTGTTTTTTGCATTATTTCATTAAGTGCAAAGTTAGCTTTCATCCCAATGCAAAAATCAGTAGAACTGTTCTCTTCTGTCTTTTTGTTGCAGTTAATTTTTCTTTACTTCTCTTGCATTTTGGTTTGGTTTTTTTTTACTTCCCTTAATTTTTTCTTCACTGAGTAACTTTTATGGAGAAGTTAAATGATTTTGTAGTGCAAAATCCTTGTGTATCTGTAGTAATTGTTATAAAACCAGCATGTATCCAATGTAAATGAATGCACCCTTAATACTAAATCATTTTCCGTTTCATCTGCTATAGCTGTTGAAGTCAGAAGAGGATGCCTCATATAAACCTGTGAAGAAAGCCTGTACTCAACTTGTTGACAATTTGGTTGAGCACATTCTTAAATATGAGGAATCCTTATCAGGTAATATTGTTTACAACCCAGTAGCTCCTTTGAATTTTATATGATACTGTAACAGTGGTTGTTCAAATTACTGTCGCGAAAAGTTACTGTTACAGAATTCCTATTACGAAACTTGATGGTAATGAATTATTGCATTTAAGTTCATTATGAGCTTTTGAGCACTGTATAATAATAAAGCTTCCCTAATTTTCTCTAGCTAGCCACAATAACAGAACTACTTTTAAAATAACTTGTTCAAACTTTTAGATCACTAAAAACAAATGTGGCAAGCTTTATTTGCATTAATATGTTGTACAGTTGTAATAGGAATCATTGGCTGAGACAGTGTTCTGTGTACAGTAAGGAGTTTAAAAACTAGTGATGTCTTTGAAGCATCTTTGCTTCTTATTTCACATATTTTGTGATCACATACAAATGTTAACACATTATGTTCTCATCTCTAATCTAATAAGAATATTCTGTATTGATCTTGAAAGATATGTTATGAAAGAGATATTCATATGATGTTTTGGCCATATGTTTTTCATTGCTCAAGCATTACTTTGTGTATTTTCTAATTTTTTTTCAGATTCTGACAACAAAAGTGTGAATTCTGGTCGCTTGGTTGCTTGCATAACGACTTTGTTCCTATTCAGCAAAATCAGGCCCCAGCTAATGGTCAAACATGCCATGACCATGCAGCCATACCTGACCACTAAATGTAGTGTAAGTAGAGAAAATTAGAAAAACAGTCTTTTTTTTCCCCCATATAATTAAGCATGGAAATTAATGGCTGTCTTGTATGCTTGATGAAATTGAAGGTAGGAAAAGAGAAATAAAAATTGTGTTTCTATTTCATGATCATCATATCTTTTGAAGATATTGGGTCCTTTTGATGATCTCTGTAGCTTCTAAGATGCTGTTCCTCACCCTCTACCTCCACATTTTACAGACAAATGAAACTGAAACCTGTGCTGCCTCTT